TTCCAATTTTCCTAAGACCACGTAGCTCTGTGCATAACGCAATCGTAGTGTCGAGTGTTGCATCATCCGCCACCGAGACCTGTGCCGGCAGGAATCTCATTGTTCCTCGGCCAACCAGGTAGTGAAGTGTCGCCGATATTAAAGACGTCTTGTGCTCGTCGTCCGTGCACCTACGCCTTGAATCCTTTATTCACCCGGGCATAAAAGCACTGAACCGCCTGCAGTAATAGAGCCGTCCCGTGCTCACTGTTAGCGTGTTCGATTGTTGAAGGCTCAGAAACCGTGGCTTGCGATACCTTCAAAGGGTAGAATTAGAACCGACCTGTGCTCTCTACCTTCTTTAAGGATCACCGTCACCGAATCTCCCTTTCATCCCTAAGTAACGGGACCCGTGAATCCTTCGAAGGGTAGAATCATAGCCGCCCTGTGCTCTCTATCCTTTTCAAGAATCACTGTCGCCGAATATCTCTTCTTTTTCCACGCAACATGACCTGACTGCGCACATGAGCAGACCACGTCACGCCGGACGCAAGGTACAGCTTCGCAGACTTTACGCTAAACTCCACGCTCCTGTCAGTCCCAGCGACTGAGCTTTGATCGGGCTCGCGCGACCAACATATGCCACAAGGCAATCAGTGCCGTATCGCCTCGTACCGATCTCGATTGAATACCCGAATCTACCGCCTAATTTAAACATTTCCGCGAGTAACCCGCGACGTGACCGGTACATGCAGATTCGTGCTAAGCTACTCCACCAACACTACGGCGGAACCACACCACNTGCCGTATCGCCTCGTACCGATCTCGATTGAATACCCGAATCTACCGCCTAATTTAAACATTTCCGCGAGTAACCCGCGACGTGACCGGTACATGCAGATTCGTGCTAAGCTACTCCACCAACACTACGGCGGAACCACACCACAGCACTTTTCCGAAAGCCTGAGGACTACCACCACGAGCAGCACACCGGAAGTGATCACCTTAGATTAATTCCAGCAAGCCATCCCCGGTAAGTCGCAACTATAATCTATGTTCGATTACGACGACCTTCAACGCGGACACTCCGTTAGCGCGTATGCCTGGGTAGGGCTGCGCAAGCCTGAAAAATACCGAACAATTTTCAATTTTATTTCCGCACCAAGGCCCAAGTACAGTAGCAGCCGCGGCCGAGCGAGGACGTAACATCTTTTACGTTTTCTCGTGGAACTAGTGTGTTTTATCGAAAAGATTCATGCCGAAACGTGAATTTGCATTATTTCTCGTTTTCTGCTGTAGAAAGGAAAGAAACGTTCGCCGCTTGAATTCCTCGAGGCTGCAGCATGGAAATAACGTAATAAAGCAGAATATTTCAATCACACTTTTCAGTGTTCATCCTTTCACGTTTTGACGTAAAGAAACGCAAGATCCTTTTGGCAATCACGTTGCTTCCCCTATTACAGGCAAACTCGCTGGTTTGGCTCGCAGTTTGATTTCTTTTACGTTTTCTGGTGGAACTAGCGTATTTGATAGAATAGATAGATTAGATAGATAGATTCAAGCCGAAACGTGAATTTGTATTAGTTCTCGTTTTCTGCTGTGGAAACGAAAGAAATGTTCTAAACTTAAATTCCTAGTGGTTGCAGCATGGAAATAACGTAATAAAGCAGAATATTTCAATCACACTTTTCAGTTTGCATCCTTTCACGATTTAACGTAAAAAATTGCAAGATTAACTCGACATTCATGTTACTTCGCCTATTGCACGCAAACTCGCACGTTTCGCCCGCAGATTGATTTCTTCTACCTTTTCTCGTGGAGCTAGCGTATTTGGTAGAAAAGATTCAAGCCGAAACGTGAAATTGCATTAGTTCACGTTTTCTGAGGTAGAATCGAAAGAAACGTGCGGCTCGTGAAGTCCTCGAGGCTGCCGCATGGAAATAACGTAATAAAGTAGAATATTTCAATCACACTCTTCAGTTTGCATCCGTTCATGATTTAACGTAAAGAAACGCAATATTAACTCCACATTGTCACATCCTCGGGTTCTCGGGATCGAGAACGCGCTGCTCTCTTTTAGTTTTGAGCCTACCTGCATTCACCGGCAATAACCCGGGAAGGTTGAGAGCGCCCGCCGAGCACTGGTAGGTATAGAGGGGGGTAAAAGGGGGGGGGGAGAATTGACAGTCAATGAGTGAAAACCGAGATGTTACGATCGTTATTTGATATTTGAATGTTAGTTGACTTTGAACGGTTTGTAGTATTTTGTGGGGATTAGAATTAGAAGTTAGGGACTTAAAATCTTGAAAGAATGGAAAAGTGGTTTTAAAGAAAAATAGAGATTTGTCATCGGATTCATTTTCAAACTCGTCGTCATCATTATTGCTGTTGCTTTGAATCATATATAATTTATTTGGTACTGGATTTCGCGACAGGGCGTCCGCATTGCTATTCGAGGTTCCTTTCTTGTATCGTATTTCGTATTCGAATTCTAACAATTTATTACGCCATTTCCATAGGCGCGACAGTGGATCTTTCACTGAATATAACCAAGCTAGCAGCTTATGATATGTGATGATGATAAATTTTTTTCCATATAAGTAAGGTCGGAAGTAGGATGTACAATATACGATGGCTAAACATTCTTTTTCAATTGTTGAGTACTTTTGTTCTGCGGTGTTCAAAACTCGCGATGTATATGCAATTGGCAAATTTTTTTCAATTTGAACTTGACTTAAAACTCCTTCGATGGCGTATCCGGACGCATCGGTTGTTAAATTAAAAGATTATGTAAAATCTGGATATTAAAGTATAGGGTCTGAGCAAAGGGTTTTCCTTAAATTATCGAATGCTTCTACTTGAGGTTTTGACCATATGAAAGGTGCATCCTTCTTTAATAAGTCTGTCAGCGGTTTTGCAATCTTTGAAAAATTGGAAATGAATCTTCTGTAATAGCCGGCAAGGCCTAAAAAATGTTTTATATTTTTTTGATTGGTTGGTAAAGGAAATTCATGAATATCTCTTATTTTACCAGGATCGGGGCGAACACCGTCGGATCCTATAATGTGACCTAAATATGCTACCTCGTGTCTTAAAAATTCGCATTTATCTGGTTGTAGTTTGAAATTGACTTCCTCGAGTCGTTTCATTAATCTACTAAATTTAGTTCCATGTTCTTCTAACGAGTGGGCATAAATAACAATGTCGTCCATATATACGAAGAGTTCATTGCCTTGCAGGCCTGATAACACGGTATCCATTAATCTTTGAAAAGTCGTAGGCGCATTTTTTAATCCAAATGGCATTCTCTTAAATTCA